AAAGGGGGGGGGGGGGATCGGCACTTTCCTCCAGGTGAGCACTATGCTGAGCCAAATTTGAGAAACAGTTTCTCTCATCGATGGGGTATTTATGGGGATGAGGAGCCCGCGCCCAGCCCCCAGGCATTTTGCAACCTCCCTGTTCCCAGTAGTGTTCCCAAACCAACCATCCCATGGATATTTGTGGGAACACTGATCTGGATAACATCGATGTTTTTTCACACGTGAGCGTGGCTTAATTTTGCTGCGGGGCACCTCAGATTGGAGCGTTGTGCTAACACCAGCCATTGCCTCCTTTGGTCATCGCCAAACTCTGGTTGTGGCTGTAATTGCTAATTAGGTGATTTCTGCACACAGAGCCAAAAAAAAAGCTGCGTCTCTGGCTGTATTTAATCTAAAGGACTGATCCTTGCCACCCCAGAGGCATCACATTCCCAGGACCAGCAACCAGGATCAAGTGGGAACATCTCCAGCCCACGTCGGCATTGCCGGCAGAGCAAGCGGCTGCTCTGCCGCGCCTTCAGGGAGGTTTGTGCCGGCTCCACCGCTTGCTCTTCTCCGGTCTCCACTTCCTGGCCAGGCTGGGCTCTGTTATGTTATTTCTCCAACCCCATCTGTCCTGGTTTGGTTTGTTTCTTTTTTTTTTTTTTTTTTTTTTTTTTTTCTGCTGTTCCTACTCTTATCAACTCTTCCGGGGCATCTCGCAGTGTCTCGAAGCAGCTGGTCCTGGCAGTGACCCAAGGTTTGAACGCTGCCATTGGGACCATTTTCCTTGCACCCTCGGGAGCACCGGGGTGCAAGGCGGGGATTTTTGGATGCACCTCCGAGGGGTTAGAGCCTGCCTCCTCCCCAAACTGTTGCTTTCCCTTTCCAGGATCCAAAGCGCATCCCTGTGGCTGGGGGCAGCTTTTGCTTTGGGCCCTGTGGATTTGGCCAGCAGGAGGATTTTGGGGACCTGAGGCTCTGAGTTTGCATGGCTGCTTTGCAGCCAGGTCGGAGCCATCCCTCTTTATTTTTTCTTTTTCTGGCGAAAGCAAATCGCAATGGGCAAAACTCCCTGGGGAATTCAGAAATCGGGGGGGGAAAGGGTCTGAGCATCAGGGCAGGGGGTGGCGAGTGAGCGAACGCATCTGTGCGTCAGTTAGAAATTGCTTCTCTGCTGGGCACGCCGCAGGAGAGGGCGGGGGGGAAAATCAGTTGTAGCCGTGTTTTCCAAAAAGCCCAAGCGTTTCTGCTCGCTGTCGCTCCAAGAAACGGAGAAAACCGGGGAGGTAAAATTGCAGTGATTCATCACAAGCAGATCGGAGGCAGGAAATGAGAGTTTGCTGCCTGCCCCTTGCCCGCCGTGGGCTCGGGCTCGCCTGGGCCTGGCTGGTGGTGAGGGCCTGACGCCCACGGGTTGAGCATCCCTGCGCTGCGGCGGGAGCTACTGGAGGAGCCTCCCGGGGAAGGAAAACAACTGGAAAAGGCTGAGAGCTGGAGAATTTTTCGCCTGCGTTTCTCCGGAGCCATCCCAGTGAGCTGCCTGTGAGCCGGGGCGGGGGGGCCCAGGGGGATGGGGGGTGTGTGTCCCTGGGGATGCTTGGTGTCTGGGTGTCACCCACACATGCACACAAATTTGGGGGGTACCATCCCTCTCTTGGGGACCTCCAGGGTGGCTGGTGGGCTGGGGGGGCTCCATTGAGGAATGGAGGGGG